AAACCCTTAAAGCTGTAAAGTTATAGTCCTCATACTATAATCAGCAGTCTCCTGAAGTTCTGGAAGAGGTGAATTTCTAGGTTGACAATTTGGTGGTGACTGTGAGATACAATCTCTACCAACGTCAGAAAGTCTTTTTAGTTAGCTATAAGGAAAGTCGATCAATATTGACGGATTGACTTAAAAATTGGTATACATACTCTTGAGAACCAGCCGCAACTTTTCTACTAAGCGTATCTTAGTGAGAAAACCCCTCTGGAACCCGATATTCGACGTCGAAGTACTGACGGCGATTTTGATCGGCAAAGAATTTGAAAGAAAACCTTCTTAGAGAAGCCTTCCGATTATCGTTACGCAAACTTCAAGTGCTTATATCTCAACAACCACTGGACCAATTTTAGCGTTTTGACCTTCTTTAAGACCGGAAAGACTCCCTCTGCAACTTTCTCCTAAGTGACACCTTCGGTTGTCATAATAATATTTTGAGATACACCCCTATTCTTGAAATTTAGAAGTGAAAGCTTAAGTGTTTGCATTGTGACAAACAGCTTCTAAATTAATAATACAGGCATATGACCATATATGCGCAGCACAATTATTTAAACAACCAACACGATCTTCAGCATAATCTTTACCCAAACACTTTAGAAAATAGAAGATATATAATCCAAACCATACCTGACTATTCTTGCTTAACTTGTTACCCTGTACTTGGAAACATTCCAGATAGATTCCTTAGTTTTTGGGATTGGTTTGCCTTAGAGTTCCCTGCTATTTGTTTTACCTCAAACTCTATTGTAGTTTTTAGGAGAATTCTGCAACAAACAGTTGTTTCAGAAGATTATCTAGAAGCATTAACTATAACCTTTCGTTATAGTTCTGAAGTTAATTTTTATACTCTTATTACCCGTATTAGACAAGCACTTATCTTAACAGATAGATTCACTCTTGACCCTCTAACAACCCTATATCAACATAGTGAAACTACTTCCTTACATTCTAATCAGTCAGAAGAAAGCCTTCCTGATTTCGATTATAATTTAGATTTATTATTTCAAACTCCGCCTTCTAGACCTAAATTAAAAATGGCAACCAACCAACAAATTTACGATTTTCTTGTTAATAACGAAAAGGGACCTACCCTTCTCCAAGTTGTACCTTTTCATGGTAATGGTACTCAAGACCCTTTGACATGGATAGCTGATTACGAGAAAGCTGCTGTAGCCAATCGATGGAGCTTAGCAAGAAAAAGAGAAGTCTTACCTGCCTTCTTAAGAGATAATGCTGACGAATGGCAACAAGCCTATTATCAGGCTCATGCTGCTACTAATGATGCTGATGCAGATTGGACCGCTACTAAGGCTGCATTTATTAATCACTTTTGTACCCAGAGATGGCATAACAAGTGGATTAAGGAACTAGAAGAGTTAAGACAATATCCAGATGAATCTGTTGAAACATATTATAGTAGATACCGTAAAGTCATTCAACGAGTAGGAACAAATAACAACTTAACTGATGCTCAGAAGCTCTACCATTTCAATAAAGGATTACTACCAGAAACCTTACCAATTATTCTGTTGCATGCTCCCACCGATGTTGCAACCGCTCTTGATCATGCTAGAACTTATGAACAAGGAAAAGACTTTGCTTCTAAAGCAGAGCCTACTGCTTCTTCTAATACTCGAAGCTTAGAAAAGGATATTGAAGCCTTAACCAAGCAAATGCAACAAATGACTCTTAACTATGCAACTATTGCATCCGCACTTACCCCTAAAGAAAGTACTAGCCATAACAACCAGAATTTTAGAACCCAACCCAGACCTAAGTCATCAGTTATCTGTTACAAATGTGGTGAAGCTGGTCATATAGCTAGAAATTGTTTAGCTGAAAGAAACACTACAACCGCTCAGTATAAACAATTAGCTAGAGATACAAAACAAAGAAACATTAATTATCTCGAAGCAGAAGATAGTGATGTCGAAGAAGTTTATATTACAAAAGCTCCTAGACCAAAACCTTACTCTACTAACAGAAAGAAAGTTAAAGAAGCCAGCAAAAACTCCGAGTCTCAAAAGGAGTTAAACTTGAGGAATCGTACTATAATCAATCCAATCCAGAATGAACAAGACATTACCATGGATGAAATCCCTCTAGAAGTTACCTTCCAACCTAAAGAAAACAAACAGAAAATTAAACTTAAATCCCAACCTTCGGTAATTGATCAAATCGAACCATATGATATCGCTAATGATATCTTAAACATGAAAGCCTCTGCTACCCTTGGTCAAATGTTGCAATAGCCTAATCAACGTAGAAACCTTGCCAAGATCTTACAAAAGAAAAAGATTCCCATTTCTGAAGCAAACCATCTAGAATCAGAAAGAGACAAAAGAACCACTACTATGAGATGCCACATAAGAATTAAAGGCAACCCAGTCGTAGCAATCCTAGATTCTGGAGCTGCAGTCAGTATTATAACTGCTAAACTTATGAAGAGACTTGGACTCCAAATTAGTGGACCCTCCAAAACTATCGTCGTGACAGCAAATGGAACTAGAGCCAAGGCCTTAGGAATGATTGAAGATGTAAAAATTACTATCCAAGACATTATTATCCCTATTAATTTACAAGTCATTGAATCAATGGATGAGACTATTCTATTGGGAACAGATTGGTTTAACAAATCCAGAGCCAAGTTAGATTTTGAAAACAATACTTTGAATGTACGATACTTAGGAAAAAGAGCTACTGTCAATGCTACTCATACTAGTAGTATCAATATTAGTCCGATTTATGATGAGGATGAATTTGACGATGATGATGAGTGGATTGATAAGATAGAGGATAGTGAATCGGAAACCTACTATACTGAAGAATGGCCCCAAACAGCAGATGATTTATACTATAATCCATGGTTAGAAGTTGAGAGAACACCTGCCTTTTATTTAACAGAAATTATAGAAGAACCAGCCTACCTTGAGGAGGAATCTAATCTAAATGTCAATACTGAACTTACCCAACCCCAGCATGAAAAAGCTAGCCAATTTTTGATGGATAATATCGATATTTTTGCAGAAAATATCATAGAAGAAGGACAGTCTAAAGAGTTAGGACAGACAAATATTATTTGTCATGAAATTACAACAGAAGATCATAAGCCAATTAAACAACGAGCTTATAGTTGCCCTCCTGATGATCAAGAATTTATCAAGAAAGAAATTGAAGCTATGGAGAAAAAAGGAATTATCCGAGAATCTTTTGGACCCTGGTCTTCTCCAGTCATACTTGTACCTAAGAAGGATGGTAGAAAAAAAATTTGTATCGATTATAGAAAACTAAACGCTATTACAGAAAGAGATGTCTATCCCTTACCAACTATAAATGAGATTTTAAACTCATTTAATAGAGCTTCTTGGTTTACTAGTTTAGACTTAGCTAGTGGATACTGGCAAGTAGCCATGAAAGAAGAAGATAAAAAGAAAACTGCCTTTATCACCAAATTTGGAACATATGAGTTCAACATCATGCCTTTTGGGCTCACCAATGCGCCTGCTACTTTTCAACGTCTTATGGATAAAATTCTTTGTCCATATATCAACAAATTTGTAGTAGTATATTTAGATGATATTACTATATACTCTAGAACATTTGAAGAACATTTTGAACATGTACAATTAGTTTTTCGAGTCTTAAGAGAAGCTAATTTAAAATTAAATTTAGCAAAATGTTATTTCTTTCTAAATAGCATTAAATTTTTAGAACATATTATTGGAAAAGATGGAATTAAAACTGATGAACGACTTATCGATAAAGTAAAAAATTTCCCTACCTCTACCAATCTTAGACAACTTCGAGGATTTTTAGGATTAGCCTCCTACTATAGAAGATTTATCCAAGGATTTTCAAAAATCGCTAAACCCCTTAACCAACTTCTCAAGAAAGATGAACTCTTTAACTGGACCACAGAGCATAGGGATGCTTTTAATGCTCTTAAACAATATCTTATTACCAGCCCCATCTTACGATACCCAGATTTTGACCAACCTTTCTATGTGCATACAGATGCTTCTGCCTCAGGTTTGGAAGCAGTTTTATCTCAATTAACTGAAGATAAAAAGGAATATGTCGTAGCATATGCAAGTAGAAGTTTAAACAAAGCAGAACAAAACTACTTAGCTACAGAGCTTGAATGCCTAGCTGTAGTTTGGGCGGTAGAATACTTCTATCAATACTTAGGAGCCAAACCTTTCTATCTTATCACTGACCATGCTGCTTTAAAATGGTTAAGAACCACTAAGTTAAAAGGTAGACGAGCTAGATGGATTATGAGATTAGAGCCTTACAATTTCACTATAATCCATAGGGCTGGAAGAAAACATAATAATGCAGACTCATTATCTAGAATGTATGAAGCAAATTTCATGGACATTGATGATGATGATCTACCTTCAGAAGAAGTAGCCCTACAAATAGCTGTTAGTCGACAACTAGCCCGAATTGAATCCCCATTGTACCCAGATAGCCGAATCCAAAGACTAGCCAATATGTTGAAGCCTTCATTACCCTCTTTCGCATACCAAATAACTAAGCCTTATACTCGTTTAGAAGTATTAGCCAATGGATTTAAATGTGATGATGGACCTCTTTTCAATTGGAACTATATTTTTACTCTTGGTAGAAAATTTAGAACTATTAAAGGAAAGAATAAATATCCTTTAAGTTGGACAGGACCTAATACCCAGTGTTGGTGTAGAAACGTTCTATCGAGTAATAGAAGCCAATGTTTTCAATGCCAAAGAGATTGTTAGATTTGGAAAACATTAAAGAAAGCATCTCTAAGAGAATTAGTTCGATACTGTCCCGAACAATTACCAGCCAGCAAAAACAGTGACAATGAAGAAGAAGTTTTTATGTTAACCACGATAGAAGAAGAACCCGAATCCTTTTCCCTCTCAACTAAGCATTACGAAGATATGCTTAACACTTTGCAACCAACACTAAGTGAAGGACTTACCCAGTACTTACGACCATACCAGAATGTTGAATTTACTTCAGAAGGAATTCAATTTGAAGGACAGAAATGTACTTGGTACTATATCGAGCATATTCGTACTAGACTATCTCAGAAATTCAACCGTAGAGCCTGGCCTAGAGATTGGAAAGGACCAGCAGCACAATGTTGGTGTGGAGACAAATTATACTCTCCTTGTGACGAGTGTTCTAAATGCCATGGTGATCTTAGACTATGGATAACTATTAAAAGCTATCCAATCGAAGAAATTTCAAAATGTTATTGGCCTACCCCAGATACAGATGAAGAAGACGATCAAGATAACTTTGATCAAGATCCAGACTTAGAACTACCTGAGTCTACTGAAGATAATATTACCCCATTCATAACAACTGAAGCTGCCAATCAGTATCTTTTTGAAGATTTCAATAACTTTGACTTTGATGAAGTATTTAATGATCCTAGTACTATCAATTGGGAAAGTTCAACAGCAGAAGGATCAGTAATAGAAGAAATATCCCTCTCATCCTACCTCATAACCCAACCTTGGTGGTTACCACCTTTGGAAACTCCTACACCATTAATGTATATCGAAAATAATAATTTCTCTGAATATTATCTTTGCAATATGGTTTGGTGGAGAGTAGTCAATCCAACAACATATTATTATTAGATTTTTCTTTTCTTCTTTATTTAAATTTTAGTATTTAGTTAATAAAAAAAAAAAAAAAAAAAAAAAAAAAAATATATATATAATATATATATATCTTATCTTGTATTATTTATTAGTTTAGCCTTCGCTGGGCCTAGTAAATAAGGGAGACTAGAACAGTATAGAGTGAGGTTGGAGCTCTATTCACTTGATATAATTATTTTTTATCTTAGAAATCTGACGTTAAAGAAAATTCAGTTCAGGTTGTCAGTGTCCTGACGTATAACAAAATGGATTTAATTGTTTACCAGAATATCAAAAATTTCTTGGAAACAGCAAGTTTTCCTCCTAATTTCTCTGGAAGCCAGAAAAGAAGATTGGAAACCCAAAGCAAATTCTATATTATCAAGAACAATCAACTCTACAAACATGATCGTAGAAAGAAGAAGGCATATCAACTTCTTAGAGTAATCCAGAAACATGAAGTAGAACCGATCTTATTTCTTTTTCATAATCATCCTATAGGAGCTCATTTAGGAACAGACAAGATGTTTGAAAAGATTCGTAGTAGATACTTTTGGCCCCAAATGTATCAACATATTAAGGAATATGTGCAGACCTGTGATACTTGTCAAAAGAAAGGAAAATACCGCACTCCTGGGCCTTTGCAACCTATTTCAGTAGAATCCCCTTTTCATCGAATTGGTTTAGACTTTGTTGGACCATTGCCTATTACCTCACACCAGAATAAATATATTATAGTAGCAACCGACTATATGACGAAATGGCCTGAAGCAAGAGCTGTACCAAAAGCCGATGCACAAGCTACTGTAAACTTTATTTATGAAGAAATAATCTGCCAACATGGATGTCCTTATTACCTGCTTACAGATAGAGGAACACACTTTAATAATGATCTAGTGAAAGCACTCTCACAAAAATTTGAAATTCAGCATTTACTCTCAACTCCATATCATCCACAAACTAATGGATTAGTAGAACGATTCAATAGAACATTATGTGAATCTTTAGCAAAATTAACTAGTCAAGGACAAGAATGGGATACCTTTATACCTTCTGTCTTATTTGCTTATAGAACTGCTAAGCAATCGACTACCAAGATTACTCCTTTCTATCTTACATATGGAAGAGAAGCAAAGTTCCCTATATCCGAAACTGAAGATATTTTGGAAGGAAATATCTTAACGAGATTATTTTCTTTAATTGAAGAAGTACCTGTAGAGCGAGAACAAGCTAGAACAAATATTAGAAAATCACAGCAACGACAAAAGTTTTACTGGAATAAGAAACACAAGAAAGTAAAACCAATCTTTAAGAAAGAAGATAAAGTTCTCTTATATGATGCCATGAGAGATAAACATTATTCTGGAAAATTATTACCCAAATGGAAGGGACCGTACTTTATTCACAGTAGAGTAGCACCAGATGTTTACCGACTACGAACTCTAAATGGAAATATTTTAGAAACACCAATCAATACATTGTTACTCAAGCGGTATTACGATAGAAGCATGTGGAACCCCTTAATCATTATCAATGACAAGCCCAAAACATAATCCTAATTTTCCACTCTTACCATGAATAACACCGATTATAACCTTATTCTTGTTGATTTATTGAATACGGTACCAACTAATCCGGTAATACCTCCACGACCCGCCGATAATTATCAAGATATACAAGAGAGAATTATGAAGACTTATAGAAGACTCCTTAGGACCCGAACTATAATGAGAAAACATCAGTTAGTTTATGCATATTACCTGGGTGAATTATTAGAACAATATCCGGAAGAACGACGGATAAGTAGAAGAAAGATATCCCAATATTATTATAGTGTTTCCATTCGAACCTATAATATATTTGAAGGAATTGGAGTAGATCAAATATTTCGAACTAATAATACTACTCTGGCTAAGATCGCTAGACTTTCTGCCAATGATTATCAAGCCCTCATATAAAGTTTTTCTCGGAGCTCAAAACTAAGACGGGGAGAATTGTTAGCCTTAAGAGTTTACACCCTTTTGCCCATAACTCTTGAATCAGGAATGCTAGCAAGATGAAACAACTACC